CAACGACTCATCGGTCTGCCCCAGTTGCGCTCCCTGCACCATCCCAAAAATAGCAGACCACGCAGCGGGCAACTACGACCCCCGGGGAGCTCGCCCTGCAGATCGTGGACATCATCTCGCTGCGCCCAGAGATCCAGCTCTGCTACGTTGGCATTGGCAAGAAGTGCTTCGAGATCCTCGAGAATAAACCTCTCGACTCGTCTACGCACGGCGTCGCCACCACGGACCCCACGGCCGAAGCAGGCGCGCCTGGTAGCGGCCACGTGGTCCCGGGCCAGCATGGTTCAGGTGGCGACGAGGCCGCAGACGACGACGAAGAGGACGCGAGCGACGATGACGAGGATGCGAGCCAGGTCGACACATCAGAGGACGAGAACGAGGACGGGCCTGGCGGCAGTGGTGCAGGCAATGCCAACGACGCAGCCAGCGTGGTCGATGTTGACGACTCGCAGTCCGAGGCATCGCTTGGCTCCAGCGACTCTGATGCAGACTCCTTCCGTGAGGCGGATCACGTCGGGGCCAGGCCGCGCCTGCGCCTGCGTGAAATCCTGTTCTACGACGACAAGGTCGCCATCTTCAAAGCGCGCCACGGACGACTATAGATTGGGGGTTCGCCTTCGTCGCAGTGAGGCTCGCAGGTGAAGACGAGCCCTTCCTCCCAACGGGAAACACATGATGGAGGATGTAATACGATCCACAATCTTGAGGGTTGCGGATCAGCATGGACAGACAGAGGAAGATTCGGGTCGTCGACGACCCTGCACTTGAATCTGAATCTGGGCCTGGGATGTACGACGATCTTGTGCTCGCCTTGCCTTTTTTTTTTTCTTCTTCTTCTTCTTCTTCTTTTGCTGCATCTGTTGCGTCTACGATACCATCCACAGCATTTTCTGATCTGCTTGCTTTGTATTTTTTTTCTCCCCCTTGGTTTTGGTTCTGCTGCTCGCCTGCCTGCGTGTCGTCGCGACATGGTTAGATTTGAAAAGCGTAACGGGAAGGCGCGGACGGATGGGAAACTTGGGCTGGGCATTCTAGGTAGGTAGCCAAAGCGGAGGGAAATGGAAACATCGCGAGAGCGTTCGGCGCTTGTTCTTTTTCCATTTGGTATAAGCCTACCTCTTTCATCTTTTGGTTCATCCTGTTCTCTTCTTCCTGTGATGTTCGTCGCCGTCTACCAGTTGCCCCTGTTCGAATCTGGTCTGCGTCGTCTGATGGCTTTTCCTCGTTTCCTTTACAGCATCACCCATCTGCAACGATGCTCAGTTTCCACAGCTGGAATCCATCCAGGACATGACAGACGTCTCCCAGTACGTATCCTGCCAGGAAAAGCAGGATCTCGCCCCCCCTTTCCCTGATGCCCCAGCCCAGACCATCCACCTCCACTCGTCATTATCGACCTATTTTGGCACCATGGTGCTGGGGACTCACCATCATTACCAACCACTACCTCGCCTACCCGACAGAAAGAAGTTGATCGTCCAGCTGGCAGGAAAGAAGCAGATCATCTCTGGTCGGGGCCTGGCAGTGACGTTCGCCAGGGACGAATGACGTACGACAACAGTCAGAGGCATGCCCTGACCAGGACAGACTTGGCTTTCGTTTTTTTTCCTCTTCTGCCCCCAGCAAGCCCTGCCGTTTCCCCTGCCCACGCCCTGCCACGCCCCTTCACCCCCCCTCTAGCTCCCATGCCCCCCGCTCCCGACGGGGACGCCACGGACACGCCCCCATCCAGCAGCGGCAAAGCGAACGAACGAACGAACGCGTGCCAAGAAAAGGGGGAGAGTGACGAAAGGACTGGACGGGAGGTAGTGGAGGGCAGGGCAGTTCAGGGCAGGGCAGGAGACGGGATGGGAAGAATAGGGGCGTGTGTATGTGTGTGTCTGCGTCCGCGCGCGCGCACCCACAAAGGGGGGGGGCTTCAGACCTGGACTGGCTGGCTGGCTGGCTGGCTCCGCGAAGATACTCCGCGCTAGAGAGATGCAGTCCGCGAGTGGTGGGGAGGTACTACGGTTTCGGGAGGAAGAGACGCGATCCTTTCCTCCTCCTCCTCGCGGCACGCCCCCTCCCTATCACTCTTTTCTGTCTCCTGACGAACGAACAGTGCCGGGAGCACAGCCAACGAAGCCGATTCGGGTTGGCTCAAAGGAGACACTCGGCAGAGGAGGGCTTTTGCTTTGGTCTTGGTGGGTGGGTGGGCATCTCTTCTGGCCTATCCTATGCCGCCGCATACGGTGTCGAGAGAAGTAAAGGGGGGGGGGGTCGAGGTAGCGCGCGGAAGAACGAGAGAGGGAGGGGGGCGCATGAGTCGCGATAAAGGGCCTTGCCTGGTAGATTCTCGCTTGTCTTCTTCCTCTGCCTTGATGCGGTTCGCCTGAGACGGTTAAAATCACGCGATAAAACAGTCAGAACTTTGTGGTGTTGGGGTTGGGGACCGGCTAGGCGAGGCACGAGGGATGGGCCGGAAGGATCACGACCCCTGCTTCAAGAAGGCCAGGCAGCTCTTGTGAGAGTGCTGCATGGTGTTGAAAAGGGCCCTTGAGGGGGTGTCCGTGGTAGATTCATGGTACAACTGCGATTATTCCGGCCAGGCCATTTTAACAGACACGTTGACCATGTGGAGAAGATCGGTCTGCTCGATAATTGTACTCAGCACATGGTCGACCGTGTTACAGCTCAACAGGCCATTGCTATACCTCCTCGATGTCCCAGAATCATCCGAATATGCAAAACCTTCTGAGTTGGTGATGACTCGTTCGCTGAATGCCGATGGTGGGCAGGGTTTGACACGCCATTCCGCATATCGTTGCAAGACTTAAGCCCCATGCAGTGGTGGATGGATTATTTTTCTTGACGAAGGAGCATCTTGCATGCCCCCAATTTCCTAGAGGCCCCTGGACACAGATAAAGACCTTTTGCAGAAACTTTGATGATCAAAAACTGTTTATGGGAGGTAATTGCTCCTTGTTACCTGCGAGCTTCGTCTGTTGCGAATCCTCTTTACCAGAAATAGCAAGCGAGCAAGGTGACCACAAGCTCGTCGGCGACGACGATGGTTAGGAGAGATTGATAACTCAATCTGGAAAGATCGATATTGCCACCCACCCTACATGCAAGCTGATGCTGGGTACAGAGAGGTAGCTAGCTACTGGGTCTGGCCGATAGACGATGGCCTTGCCTGACCGAGAGATGAGATGCCAGTCTTCCCACAGAGCGTTTCCATCACCCAGGGTCTCCCTGGTACCGAGCGTGACATTGAGTATCTACCGTCTTCATTAAATGTAGTATCATAATGGTGCATGATTTTGCGCCATTCCTTCGGGTCTACCAGACCTCAATGAGGCGACTCGGCGGTGGCATCCGTTGTTGAGTCTCCACTGTGGTCGGATGGAGGCCGATTCAGGGGCCCATCAGGCCGTCGCCCACGAGGCCGGCGCCGTGCACATGCGCTCCTTGGTCCTTGTTAAGGCT